ACTTATTAATAATGTAATAAATTAACTACTGAGCTTAAAATTAATCTTACTTATTTGTAATCTTTTAATTCTACCTGCGACTCACTCATGACAATATATATGATTTTAATAGTAAATGCCTATAATTCACTTGTGATTAACTCTTATATAACATTATGACATTACTATGAGATTATTAATTAATAAATTAAAAATTCTTATCATATAAAAATCAAAATTAAAGATTTTGATTACTAATTCAAATTAAATCTAAAGATTATTTTTTATTATTAGGAAAAAAAAAATTATGTCATATATGATTGTATTATTAATGAGACTATTCATAAACAATATATTGCTTCTTATTTTCTTGATAATAATCATTGTCACTCTCTTATAATTACTTATATCATTATCACTATTTTCTTCATACTTATCATTAATATCAGCAATAATATATCTTCTAAGATTTTCTTGATTTAATTGATCAAAGTTAAAAATTAAAGTATCTTCTGATCTATTCATATCATTCAAAATTCCACAACACTTAAAAGTATGTCAAATCATATTAATATTCATAGCTTTCTAACTATTCTTTATCCAGGTAGTTACAAGAGAATAAGAAGGTCTTTTGATTTTTTCTTATATTGATTTTTAACCTTTGCTTTGAAAGGTTTGTTCAAGAAAACATCAAGTGATTGTAGTCTGCCTAGAATGATTGCTATATTAGTTTTTTTTCACAAAGCCATTTCTTTACAACTTCAGTTTTATGAGCGGAAAATAAATCTAATATCAAGAAAAATCTTAGATTACTATCTCTTTATGAACATTTTGATTAAATATTTTCAGTCTATCATATTATTTCTTCTTCGTTCATATATCCTTATGAATTTACACAAATTACTACACCTTTAGGAAATTCTTTACAGTAAATCTTTTTGAGTTTGAAAATAATAACTGGAGGTAAGTTTGTCCTGTCAGTCAAACAAGCTAACACAATGGTAATTTGATCTTTCATGACCAGTAGACAAAATTGATACAGTTTTAGAACTAGATTGTTTCACAGTTATATTACTTGGAAGATTGAATGATATTGGTTCTCTTTTCTCAAATACATGACATAAAATAAAAATTCTGATTATTTCTCTGCATAATCTTCAGGAAGATGTTGTGCAATTATAGTTTTCCTTCTATTTGATAATTTATACTAAGATATAAAACCATCAATTCATTTTCATGAAAATTTAATATTTCTTACATCAGAATATTCTGATTGGTATGATGTATTTTTGCTAATAAACGTGCTTTAATTTGAATCATAAATTGAGTTACTGTTTTTAATTGACCTCTAGCTTTAGTAAACCATTCTATAAGCTCATCTTCAATGTGTGAGAATTTTAGACACGTATCTGTATTTAACTTTTAAATGTAAGATATCACACTAATAAGCTTATTCTATTATTAATCCAATCACGAAGCTGTTTTGGTTCTATTCCAAACTTATCTGCAGTTGACCTTTTACTATATTCATTGTAAAACATCTTTATTTTAGCTTTAAAATTATCATATTAGTTAATAAATGCGATTTTCTGTAATAAAAGGAAAAAATTTGCCAAACTTAATAATTAAGTTTTCACTCAATTAATTACTTATTACAATAAAATAAATGTAACTTATGTAAAAAAAAGATTTTACAATAAAATTCTTAAAAAAAGATTGTTAAATCATTTAAAATAAATTAAGGAGAATTTTTTTTTGAACAAAAGAAAGTAAAAAGGATAATTGCAAAACACCAAATGTATGCTTTATTTATTATATTTCAAATATATTGTATATTATTGCTACAGAGGGTACCCAAAAGTTTCCGAACGACTTATTAGGTAATCAATAACTATAAAAAGGAGTGATCGGCATTTAG